GACACACCGCCCTGCGACCTTTATGGATCCTTGTCGAGCTTTCATCCGTCGTATGACGGGCATTCTTAAGGCTTTGCGATAATTCATCAAACACAAACATAAGAAAGGTGGCCAGCCACAAATCTGCCTACTTCTTATAGCTCAACTTTGTCCACTTAATAAGACATCCTACGTGCAGCCACATTAACCAACCTGAGTGTAGAGAGAACAGTTTGGTGCTGAAGTTTGGCTTGCGTAGCAGCCTGTAGTGGCAGGGATTGCCACTGCTGTCGCTGCCATAGTTGCCGTAGGATGACATGAAGATTGATCTCCAGAAGAAAGCAGAGATCCATGCAATGTTGTAGGCACTGGAGGCGAAGGGTAGGCAAAGTTTTGTTGATAAGTGGGCAGACAGGGCCCACTATGGTGGGCAAGACGGACTAAACTGGGCCAGACCGGACTTATAGAGCAAGCCAGTCTCGAATCACTGCCACCACTCAGTTGGCGTTGATGTTGAGCTTGAGTCTGCATAAAGTGAGCTGGAGAAAAGGGGACAGGCGGCCCTTGATTATCTGGCCCGCAGGCAGAAGCCCCACATGGCCATGATAGACAGTTAGCCGAACCAGAGCAGCCTGGGGTCACTTGGCCTACATCACCATATAATCGATTGGATTCTAAAGCCTCAGAGCTGCCAACTATGCGCAACTGAGCTATTTCATAAGGGAGGTCGTCAAGCCCAAGAGGCTGAGTTGAGCAGTTGATGACGGCGCTGCAACTGCTATTGTTGGCCTGATTAGTATTAATATTAATAGTGTCTCCAGTATTGTGGGTCGAAGTCACCGAAGCCTCAACTGCAGTAGTCGTCATTGTCGATGGCGTAAAAAGAGAAGGGGCAATGGTGGGAGGCGGCGCAGAAATTCCGGCATGAGATGTAGTCGGCAGGAGGGGTAGATAACAAACCGGACCACTTCCATTTTCCAGGAAAGAGGAATCGTAATTTGAAGAAGCCGGTTTCAAGTTGGCCCAACCAGAAGTCATCGTCACAGAATTGGCGGGCAGGAGGCCAGATTGTGGAGATGGAGTTTGAAGCAGTGAAGAAAGAGTGTGAGTCTTATAAGTGCCAGTGGAGGAGGAAGAACAGTTTAGCCCAGCTGAGAGAGCAATACTTGCAGCCGCTGGAGCTAACTGACAGAGTGTAGATGAATTTATCAGCCCGTAGGAGCCAAGGACCTAGATGGAGCAAAATAATGTACAGGCATTAAGGAGATATAATCCATTTTTGTATTGAAATCATGTATGAAAAAAAATTCAAAATATAGTAAGGGATTTGAAGAATAAAAGTAACAAGACTTAAGGAATGGAGATTTTGAGAGAAAGATTTAAGGTATTCGTGCCGCCGTCAAGATCGGACTGAGGATAGGAAAATGAACGCAATAAATCCTCAACGTGCTAGGGCCCTTAAGACGTATAGTCCACCCAAATTTTAGAGTTATAATATGAGAAATTATAAAAAAGAAGAATATATAAAGACCAAGATGTTGTGGCCTCTGTTATGGTCCCACTTCTAGAAAAAAGAAGCTTTATATACAATAAATTGAAGAAAATATCGAAATCCTAGGAGCTTTCGGTCAGGAATTTTCATGAATCTGTTAAGCTCATAGACGAGAATGTAAGAGAACAAGGCTATTTGCTGCTGGGTTTTAATATAATGTTAAAGGACATTAATATTATATGAAAATAGGTATTGCAGATGAACTATGAAAAAACTGATGAGGGACAGCGATAAAAAAATTCGATCTTAAGAATAAAGAATCTTGCCAAGAATAACATTAATTCTACTTTTCGTGGCTAGTTGGAAGATCAAGTACAAGAAACGGCTTTAAGAGCGTTTTTAAGAGAAAATAGAGTTCTAAGAAAGATAGCCGGTATTATTACAATCAATTAAAGAGAATTTTGTAGCAAAATTCCACAGAGCCGTATCCTATATAAGTGATTTTAAATCTAAAGCAGACCTTAACTAGGCCAAAAAGCCTGTCTCATCTTAACTCATTCCAGCTTATTAACTCAATAAGGCTAGGTATCTAAGGTGCCTCAGATGATATATTTGTTTGTACACCCCTTAGAATCAAATCCTGCAAAGGCAAAACTTCGGATGGCTTTGAAATGTGACTAGGATTTTATATCACTAGGCCAAATTCCAAAGAAAAAGGAAATCTTAATTTAATTGTGAACAGACCAATTACAGACACATAGATAAGCAATCTGCCAGTGATGCTGATCCGCTTCCTAAGTGGGATTCTCTAATAGTGCTTACACCATTATAACTAAAAAAGATTATTCAGGCTTTGTTCACCCAAGTGGTAATCTATTTTATGTATTGGGAGCAATTTGAACCGACAAAGGATAAGAGCAGTTAAGACTTAGAAGCACTTATCCGTTTAGCCTTTGTAGATTTATGGGTGCCATTCAGCCAATCATGAGGCTCGTTTTAATTAGGCGATCTATCTTTAGTTCGCATATGGATTTTATAATGGCAGAGATGAAGCAATATTTTCATTTAAATACATTCATTCAGTGTAAATAAATTCATGTAAGGAAACAGCTGCTTTCGCATACACTTTCTTTCATGACTCAATTTCATTCATCTGAAAGCATATAGGATGAGCATGAAGTGGCCAAATAAATCATAGCATTCCCATTAAAATGGAAAAAAATATGTATAAGAAGTGAGCATGCTTGCAGCCGGTGATAACATTGCTTAGTATAGTAGTTTACAATTTCGTAAAGTATGGCTTCTTGCTCTAAAGATATTTGTCATATGAGACTAGAGGTTAGCATGGGTTCATGTTATCGCAGGACGATGAGCAAACGACTTCTTCGCACAATCTGTCTCCTTCGGTCTCCTGTGAAACCAATTCACGAATTCCCTCAAACTAAATTTTACTTCGAAATGCGAAGCCAAGCCACATTAACTCACTAAGGGACCCTTCAAAACACTGTTTACTTCGTATATATAAATATAATTTAAAGTTTGTAGTGAGAAGTTCCAATCACATGTCCCTTCAAAGCTTCCCTTAACTGTATGAGCATTGAATTTTCATAACTTATCTCTAATAGGTTCGAAAAATTTCCTTTTTTGTGGTATATCGTAAAATAGAGAAATGTGTTATTTTGAAGGAAGAGAGTTAACCCAGTTTCTTTAGATTGTTTAGCGAAACTTTTCCCTTATTTAGCCCGCGAAAATTTGGTGTAGAAAATAAATAAAAATTATGCTCATATTCCAACTACCACCAGAAAAAGCCTACCCCCATAGCAGAAACAATCTCCTCTATTGCAGAGTCAGTATAACCAGCGCAATGAAGCCCAGCTTTGAAAGTCCCTAAGTTGAGTAAAAGCATTGACGTTGTCGCCGGCAGCTGCTGGCTAACTGATGATGATGGAAGATTACCGGAAGAATCGCCGATAACGGAGCAGTCACCACATCGGAACATTGCATCAGCGGCAGCAGGACCTGTGAATTGGCTGGAGGAGAGAAGAGCATGTTGTTGAGAAAAGTCATGACCAAGGCTGGGGCCGAGGGTAGTACCGGAAGTAGTAAGACAATCAGTGACAACGCTGCTGCTTATCGTTTGTCCTTCTGTCGTTAAGGTCGAATGGGGAGCAGTAGTAGGAATTCTGAGCCTGGCGTCGTTAAAAAACGACCCAGATTGGTTATTTGGAGTTACAAGGCTAGAAGATGATGGCGATGGAGTGGCAGTGAGGGCCAAATAAGCGAGGGAACAGCCAGATGTACCGTCGAGCTGATTAGCCGATCCCATGAAACCAGGACCCCAGGAACCTAATCAGATGAGAAAGCAAATGCATCATGCAAAACAATTTCAAATCGAATCAAAACCAACAACATACAGCAAAATGATATAACGAAATCTAAATCACAGTAATAATATCCAGTTAATTTATAAGAATTTACAAGTCGACTCATCTTCAAAAAATTTTACTAACAGAAAGATCGCCCATCAGTTTGATAGATGCCCATACATATGACCCGTAATGCGCGAATCATGAATGACTCTCAAACTAAGAAAAAATCCGGTTGAATCATGTAGTTATTTATAAACGCGATCTCACAGCTGAACTCGTTTTTGTTCACCATAAAGGTTTTAACCACTATACTTTCTTGTTGACGATCTAGTGCTTACTTCAAAGCCCCTGTTGCCCCATATACCGCACATTAATATAAGTCGATATTAAATGGAAACATCAAAGCAAATCTCTTCGTTCCATCACTTGCTAATCCATTCGCTTTAGGAAGTCATGAGAATGCAAGTGAAATATGCCAATAGTATGAGACTATGACTAACTTGTCTACGAATAATCGTCAAATTTTATATATTACACAGGCTTCATAATAATCCTAGTCAGCTTTGTGAATTTTGAAAATTCATTAATCAGAGGCAAGATCTGAACTTGTAGAAAAGAGGTGCGACGATTTCCCACTTTTACAGTTTTCCGTTATTCACGCTTTGCAGTAAAATCTAATCTTTAGGCGAAGATATAAAACCAAGATGGTGCAGCCTTTTGTATGGTCGCAATCATCTTCTGTTGTACAAAAGTTGATTGACCTAGCTTTCGCAACTTGGTCATATTGGTAGGAAGACCTAGAGGGAGGCACATAGTCGGGAGTCCATGGTATGGACGTGGCACATTCCCCGACATTTCGCCGGTATAGTCAGATAGCATTGCCAGTCTTAGCAGCACTGCAACTCGTCAGAGACAAGTGAAGCAGTTCCCTTGACCAATTTTCTTCTAAACAATTGCCCCGTAGGATCAGTCTGTTATCTTCCTGGTTTAAGTATTTCATTCGACCCCTGCCACCCTATCTGTACTACTCGAGGCGTTATTTCCCATACTGTGCCTCTGCGAGACTAAATAACCTGAGTAATTCTCATAGCCAAGCTTTTGCTTCATGTACCACGTCTATGATCAAACACGTCTACTGTTAGCCAAGCAGCTATTGTCTCCGCCACATCTATCGTGCTTCTACCCATAGCGCCAAGTCTATGACTTCCTACGCCCTAATCTCTTGTGTGCCAACCCACAAATGTAATAGTTCGATTTGTTTTGATTAGGTTCAAAGTACAACCACAACATTTGTGTGGGCATACAAGAGACTAGGGCATAGGAAGTCATAACCTTGGATAAAAGCACGATAGATGCAGGAGACTAGAGCTAGTTGGCTAACAGTAGACGTGTTTGATCATAGACGTGGTAAATGAAGCAAACGCTTGACCAGGAGAATTACTCGAGCTCTTTAGCCTCAAGTTAGTCTTCCATATAGCTTGAGAATCCTGATTTTTAGGGCCATACTCAACGAGGCGGAAGTATGTGTGTCATCAAAGGCTTGAGATAGTGGGAAGTAACGCTTCAAGTAGTACAGATAGGATGGCAGGGATCGAGTGAAATATCTGAACCAGCAAAGTAGAAGACGGATCTTACGGGGCAAAAGGGAAACTTTGATAATATCTATGGGAAAGGGATTGCGGGGTGAGGGAGTGAGAAAGATAGCGTGTGGTTTGGAGAGTTCTTATGAAATTCGCCAAAAAGAGCACATCATACAACATTTAAATAAGCAATTAAAAAATTGTCACAGTGAATTGGTGATACGAGGATATAAGATTGGTGAATAGACCAGGGCAGAAGAAAAGATACCATAATTGATTAGAAGACAATTGGTCAAGGGATCGGCTTCACTTGTCTCTTTTGACGAGTTGTAGTGTGGTGTTCAAACTAGCAAGGCTCACGGACGATGCCGGCGAAACGTCTGGAAATGTATTACGTCAACTGTCCGACTCTGAAAGGTATCATGCATACTATGTACTCCGGACTAGATGCGTTCCTCTAGGTCTTCCTACCAATACGAACAAATTGCGAAAACAAGATCAAATAACTTCTAATCTTTGATATTTCTAAATGAATCTAAGGTATAAAATATTATTATAGATATGAAGGCCAATATATTGTGGTCTCTGTTTCGGTCACAGTCTCCTTTCGCTAGGTAGGAATGATTTAACTACACTTTCACAACTTGGACATGCTGTCAAGACCTAGTTTAACGCAGCTATAACAAGTCTGGCGAGTTGTAGCTTGCTACTGAGAATAGAAAGACTCATTGACGGTGTCAAATACGACGCCGGTGAAATGTCTAATAACCTACCAAATCCACAGCCCAACGCTGGGAAATATCATAACTAATATAGCGAAGGACTTCAAACAAGGTGCGCTAAACTAAGTTGCTCTGATATCACGACCAGGTTGTAAAAACGAGGTCAAGTCCCTCGTATAAAATAATATACTGCAGATGTCATTGTAAGTTTTATTTCGTTATAAAAGATAGGTGGAAGAAAGTAGGAAGTTGCCACCATCCCTGACATAGTGCTTGCTAATTATAATTAAGGAATGACTTCATGTACTGATTAGGTCTGACAAATTAAATCTGAAGGTTAAACAGGGTTCATTGGGGTCGCAGAGGATAACTTTGTACAAATCAAAGGTCACAACTTAATACGAGTTACCTACGGTTTCTGGTAAGGTAAATTTTCAAAACTCTTCAACCCAAATTTTTAAACGAAACAAAATATACTGACATAAAATTTATGAATCTGAAATGGAGATATTATAGACAATTCCGAGAAAATCGATTCAAGAAGCATTATCACACAAAGTAAGAAAAAGCATTTGATAAAGGAAGGAAATATGAATATAACATTGGAATAGAATCAGCAGAGGATACAAGAAAAGAATAACTTCGATGGTAGAATAGTGAAAGTTTTTGCCTGCATGTATACAGCAAAGTGAGGATAGACCAATCGCTTGGAATGTGCAGGAAGGATTTTAGAAGGAAAATAACATGCTAGCTATTTGAAAGTAATGCCAGAACGAAATTGTAAGTACTTATAATTACTCCTAGGCTATTTGTCAAATAATGTCAATTAGTTCGTAAAAGTGACAAATATCATCAGAGCTTAGAGTCGATAATTGACATTAATAAGACTAAAGAGATTCGATTATCATAGTATACTCAAATAACTTGAGAAATTGCATTCCTTCAATCCCATCAAACTTAATATAAAGTCCCATATATTTACGTTATATAAATGAATTTAAGTCATTGGTAAATTTAATTTTAAAAATGAAGCTCTAGCGTTTGTTCATTTTCATTTTAGGCACTGATGATGTGAGAATATAAATCTTTTTATAGAAAAAATGTATCATCAAGAAAGAAATGTAGTGCTAACCTCACCCAGATACTACTCGTAGGCCTAATCGGTGAGAATGCACTACACGCGGTATCAAATACTTAAGGAAGCTCAAGGGATAAGATGTCTTGAGTACTGTGGATAAGGTGGCAGACGAATGAAATGAAACAATGGGATAAGAAATCGGTCGTCGAGGCCAGGAAATTGAGTCTGATAGGAGTCGGCTGAAGCAATATACAGACTTAAATGGCAAAATATGATAAAAAATTTCGACACAATGAAGGATTGAGAGAAAATTAGGGTTATGATGACGCTCTTCTAGATCTGCTTAAAAACACATCTGAAGTAGCCCAGAGAAGACAAAGTAAAAGTTGTGGCGATATGGGGTAAGTAATGGATAAGGATAGGAGATACGACAACCATTCGGTTTAAAAGTGATCAAGAAGTGGACCTCACTTGTCTAATTGGCAAGCTGTAGCTTGGCGCCAATAATGAGAAGACTCATGACAACATCGATTACGATATCAACACGTCTATTCATGTACCAAGTCCACAGTCTAACGCTGGAAATTATCATGAATACTATCTTATGGGACTCTAGAGAAGGTGCTTTCATTAAGGACACATAGCCAATATAATCAAGTCGCAAAAACGAGAAAGGAAGCGATGACTGAAATAGGGACCACACCATTTTGGTCTTCATAGCACCCATGAATAGGACTTATCCAGGGCTACTTGATGTCTCGCACAGCAGTTGCTTAGAATCAACAATTTTTCTCGTCAAGTTTTCCAGGATCAAGCCGCCAAGATAGCCATTTACAAAAAATAAAAGAATATATATGAAATAACAAGAAAAATGAAAGCAATATAAGTTTGGACTGAAGCAGCATCAAGATGCTACTTCGGCAGACCTGGTACAAAGCATAAATTTTAATTTATGCGAAAGCTTGAGGCAGTCTGAATACACCCGGCGGTCAGTCTAACCAATGCAAATTCCAGAAAAAGAATTACCCATCGTTTTCCAAATGAAAACACCCAAAAAGGGCTATGTGAACTACGCAAAAGTGGGCGAAATAAAGAAAGCCTAATAGAATTTTGATCACAAACATATATTTTTGACAGAATATACATATATTTTCACCCAAATAAGGCATCTGGCTAGAATTTATAAGTCCGGAATTTCGAATTCGTCTGACAAATTTTTAGTCAAGCATGTAGTATGAACAAGTAAAGCCAGTAATTCCGATGAAGAGATTTAAGAGGATAAGATGAAAAGATTGAAATAGGGAATGACCAGTGGTGGGATGAAGCTTCTTTTCACTTCAGATGATTAATAATAATTGGCGGCTGCCTTTATATTAAGCCTAGCAACTGTACTGACTCATCATAATCAGTTTTCCCTATATCGATTAGCCTCGCTATGGGACATCGCATCGTTCACACGCCATCTGCTCATGTCACATAAAGACCGCGTTTAACATAATTTAGTTACTACGGCTTGAATGCACGAACATTCCCATTGGATCTACTTGACTAATCACACCAAGCCATGTCATCTTCAAGAAAGGAATCCGAAGCTGAAAAATACGAATATCAGACAAGTAACTATTTAAACAAGAACGCTGAAAGTAGAAAAATAGGGACAGCACTCGCTTCCACCTGACAAGGACCTGTGATCTGTAGATGTGTTTAGAATCTACATTGGTTTGGACATCATTCTGCTTTATAAATTCTTTTGGTGAGCAGATACAAAACGATATT